TGTATTTATTAGAATTCTGGTCCAGGATGTCTTAACCCTCAATGAAGAGAGAAACTACTCTCACCTCTCAATTCTGGCAGAAGATTCACCAAAAAAGAAGGAAAGAAGGAGGGAAAAAAGGAAGACAGTTTTACTAATTCATCAAAATTGGAATGATCTTGGGTTAAAGATAACTACACATAGTTAAAATGTACTGTGAAAAATATCTCACATACATGGCAAGTACTATTAAAATGCCTTAAATAAATAACATTTAAAATTTTGAACATATTTTCAAAAATGAATTCTGGGAAAGTATATTTTGATGCATGCTTATGTAATGTTTCACTTCATTGTCTTTAAAATACTTTTGTCTCTTTTTCAAATCAATCCTGATTCCTGGGATGAGTATTAAAGGATTAAAAAAATTCTAGCTGAGCCACCTAGAAGCTGTATGTCCTTGAAAAAGACACAAATACTGAGCTCTGATTTTCTCAGAAATGGGGATAGAAACCAAATTTAAAAATTTTTGTGGGATTCAAAGACACTATTTTATGTGAAATTGATATATAAACATATATATGGCTATAGGCAAAAAATATTATCTTTATTATTCTCTGTGAGAGAAGAAAATGTAAGAGCAGGTCTGAGTTGGAAATGTGAGAGTGAACAGGAAATTACACCTGTGTTATGTCACTTCATAGGGATGGTTGATGCATCTTACAGAAGCAAGAGGACAATGGGCTAAATATTAAATAAATAACTCCAATTTAGCAAATTATGAGATCTGCATAAATCAAAGAGTTTTAATTTAAACCTGCCTTTTTGTGTTTGACTGGCTCTGTCTGGCTGCTTATATGCATGTCTGCTAACAGCATCAATTATATATTCAATGGAGAGCAATTCATTCATGTGATCAATGTATGCATTCTATGGCAAAATGTATGTTTTAATGTGTCTCATTTTTTTTATTGCTCAACATAAGGAAGCAAAAATAATTCTAGGTTCTAGCCATTATTATAGGAGGAACTGGTTCGAAGAATTTATTTTCTAAAACAAAATAGCTAGTTCTGAGAAAAGAATATTAACTTATTTTTTAATTTGAAATATTTCAAACTATTTTCAAAGAATAGCCAGTAAGAGTTCAATAAATAGCTTAATAACTTCAATATATTTGGATATTAACGAGGGCCACAGGCCACTTCAAAATTTCATAGATGGGTTTTCTAGGGTCTGAGGAAAATTTAAATAATTTGTAATTTAAAATAAAATTTTTCTAGATAGTGGGCCTAAAGCTTTTAAATGATACTCAGAGGAGTCCAGAACACAAAAGTTTAAGCATTGCTGGTTTTAAAATGACACACTTAAAGTAACAAATGTATTTACTATACTAATAATTCTTTATATGCTTAAGGCTATTGCACATTTCTGAAATAATTAAAATAAGTAATTGCCAAAAGACACAAGAGACTCCTAGCCCTAGCCAGTTTGGCTCAGTGGATAGATTGTTGGCCTGTGGACTGAAGGGTCCCAGGTTCGATTCTGGTCAAAGGCATGCGCCCAGGTTGTGATCCCCAGTAGGGGCTGTGCAGAAGGCAGCTGATCAATGATTCTCTTTTATCATTGATGTTTCTATATTGCTCTCTTCCTTTCTGAAATCCATAAAAATATATTATATAAAGAAAAGAATAAACTCCTAGCCTGGCTGGTATGGTTCAGTGGTTGAGTGTCGACCTATAAATCAGGAGGTCATGGTTTGACTCCCAGTGAGGAAATTAAGTTTTTATAGTGTAGAATTAATGTTTCAACAATTCTCAATCTATGTAAACATAATGTATATAAATGTATTCTATACACACATTCATAAAGATTAAAATATATCTTTACCTTTATGAAAAGATGTGAACATATACTGACATACATATACATCTCTGATATTAAGCACTTTATTTCTAGTCACTAAATAATAAAATTGAAAGTCTAAGCTACATTAGCTGGTTTTGTCTACCAGCATATCTTGTTGCCAGGCATAACATTTATTCCTTTGTTCCCCCTTACCCTACTCAGTCAAAAGTCACTTGCTTTTTTCAAAATGTGACTAGTACTACTTATTTAACCCTTCAGGTTAATATCAGAATACATTTTTGAAGTGAAATTAAGTGGTGACAGTTATTAGATAATGTATTGTGTTAAGGTGTCTTAATATAGTAACAACATATACACTCTATGAATAAAAATATGGAAAAATATCTGTGAAGAATTACATCTCATGAAAAAATATGACAAAGTAAAAGAATGGATAGAAGAACTGCTAAATAGCTTTAAAATAGGAAACAATTTCAAGAAATAATCACAAGAGAAGATACATATTTGAAATTAATTGTCTCTTCTCCTATGGAAAAAGCACCTCCTTGCCATGGCTGTTTAATATTTAACTAAGATACCAATAAGCCACTGGACCAGCTCCTGGTAGTCCTCAGATTTGACAACTTCAATATTCAAAATACTTTTCATTACATGAATGAAAAGTAAAGAAAAAAAAGTGTTCTGTGTTGTCTGTAGTATTAAAATGTCAGTGAAAGCTACAAATGTTTTTATTCAACTATGGACCTGACCAACTTACTGTTTTTAAGGGGGGGGGCGGGGAAGAGGGGGAGAGATCTGCAAAAACAAACAAACAAAACAAAATTTAGCTACTAGGACAGAGTAGGCTAAATCTCCCTGGGCTAAAATAAAGGTGACTTTAAGGCCCAACAGCAATTTTCTGTCATTCATTCCACATTTATAATTAGTAAATTTTCATCTCTGCTATTTCAAATAAGTATCATTACAAAATAGAACATTTTCATATGAAAAATGTTCGGACCTTTTAATGACATCAATAATTTTTTTGCTTGTTTGAAACAAATATATAAATAAAGTAATCAATCTGCAATTGAAAAGATTATTTGCTATGAAAATTTAATTCAACTTCCCATTCTTTATCATAGGGAATCTAAACACATAGCAAAAGCCTATTTATCTCTGTCCAGCGATATGGAGTACATGTGTTTCTCTGAAGAAATAGCCTAGAAATTGTACCCCAAAGAGTCCAGGGTAACATTAAATATTGTGATGAACTCGTGATGATACAGGGCTTGTCCTCAGCCCAGATATTTGACTATTCTTAGCAAAATAGATGAGCCTGTTCCTTAGTAAGCTAACCTGAACCAAATGTGGATATTTATATTTGCCATATTTGAGAGTCTAGCCTTATATTTTAATGGGATGTCAGAAGTAAAGTAAGCCAAAATTTTACTCTTAAGAATCCATTTAACTTCTGTAAATACAGCATAAAAATTCCATTAACAGACCTGCATATATTTTCTCCACATTACCTCCATGAAACTGCTTCTCTGCAGCCTAGGACACTCAGTTAAAGTGCAAATTGCTTGACATTCCAGCGCTGAAAAGTGGACATAATGAGTGACTAGGGATTTGAGGGGAAGCCCATTTGGTGTCTCTTAGCCAAGGTTCCACAGGTGTGAGCAATTCATCACGTAGAACAGCCTCTGAATTACACAGGGGCTAGCTCTTCACCACACCACATGTTTCAATTCATCATTCTATCAATAAGATTAAGTTCAGGGGATCCTTATTAGAAAGCCAGAGAAAAAATTTAAAAAAAATATTCACAAACAAATTCAACACAAAATCTCAACACTGTACAAAACAATTTCTGAAACTTTATTGTGAATTTTAAGGTACATTTAGTAAAGGATGTTTTCCTTAATATAATTAATTAAAATAAATTGGAAAGAAATGCACATACTACTTCTTTAAAGCAAGGATAAGTACAGACTTTTGAAGCCACAATATATACAATTATATGAGTGCAATAAACTTTGAAATACATTAGTTATATATCTGTTTAAATAAATAGTAGAATACTTGATTTGACACATGTGAGAGTCATACTGATTACACCAAATATGTTTACAAAATATAGCCAAAATGGAACGTTATACATTTTGATATACAACTTTTTAAATACTTTATATATTCATGACTTAATTCAAATTATAGTGTACAAAAGCCCATTTTAATGAGGACAAATTTTGTGTTAACACTGTTCAGCAAATATAGATATTAAGATGCATCCCTATACATGTTACTAAAATTTCATTCAACTTAAATCACTAACATGGGAAGGAAAAAAATCTATCGATTATTAACAGTAATAAATTTTATTGATATATTGTCAATATAATACACTGCAACATTATTTTGGCTATTTTAAATCTTCTAAAATGTATCACCTAATACTTGAGCCAAATATTTTATCTGTAAAAAATTCAAAATCAGAATAAAAAGATATTGCTACATTGAACTTATCTACTCTGCAATACACTTATTTTAAATAATATTTTTACTTATCAGTTTTCAATTGGGAACATTTTTCTAATAATGCTTTAATAATAATTCTTTGTATAGTGCCTTATGATGAAATCTCAAGAATTCATTTCATAAATTATCAATATAATATACTGTACTGTAAATACTATCTACAGAATAATGACATGGGAATATGTGATGTCAAGTGTTTACATTTATTATTATTTATACACTGTAGCATAAATAAAGGAGATTATTTTCTGCCACATTTCATCATTTTTGCATATAGCTACACATGACAATTTGTTTGGAGTATATAAAAATGTGGCTATTTTGCAGAAGTAAGACCAAATATAAATTAGCAAGATTGTTGATTTTTAACTGAAAACAAATGTTTTATTATCTATAGGGTTCTTTTAATAAAAGGAAGAACGGAAAAGGAATGTAACTTTATCCACCTAGGATAGAGTGTTGAAGTGTGAGGAGGGACCATGCAATGACCATTCTCTAAAATTTTAGGCAATAATGAGTGAAGAGATGCATTTTGCAATTAAATAATGAATAACGTGTTTATGTCTACAAAACTGGCATGGTTAATATCAGAACATGATTATAAAATGACTAGGAGCACATTATCGTTCTTTTTGTACATTGGCACTATAAAAGCAATAGCAGGAAACCTATTATATGTGAACTGATGTTGCATTTTTATATTTTAAGAATATTAGAATATCAACATATCTAAAAGTATATCTGAAAACAAGCAAGACAGGTTAATTTCTCCTCAACCTCCCCAGTACCAGTTGCCCACTGTTTTAATGGACTAGCACCACATGTCAAGCACCCAGTCAATCTCTATAACTCACCAAGTTGCCTTTTATTGGTCAGAATGAAAGCACATACATTTTCTCCAATTAGTCAGCTGATATTAGGAAGGCTATGTAGAGAACCCTCACAAATACAGTCTTAATCTACTTTTACTGCAGGCCATAAACCTGTAACACATAAGCTTCCTTTCTAACTATGGCACTTTTTTTTTCCATTAGAGAGAAATACCATCAGAGCTATGCAGTCTTAATCTACTTTTACTGCAGGCCGTAAACCTGTAACGCATAAGCTTCCTTTCTAACTATGGCACTTTTTTTTTTCCATTAGAGAGAAATACCATCAGAGCTATTAACATTCAGTTTATGTTAGGAAGAAATGCACTCACAAGGGGGATATGTCTGCTGTCCATATCTGTGTGTGTGTGTGTGTTTTCAGAGTAATAAAAGATTAAATATAATTCAAGTAACATGTGATGGCCAGAGTAATCTTATTTCTTCCCCTGTAAAGGGAGCAGGGGTTAATTAAGTAAATTGCTATGTCTTCAGCATCTGTGCTTTAAAACATTGACAGTAGCAAAGCAATGAGTCGTTTAACTATAAAGTGTGTATACATTCACACCAAGTTTGAACATTTTCAGTCTCTTGACCACTCTCTCAGAATGTTAGAAACTAAATAGTAGAACTTCAAATATTCTTTAAAGCATCCTTAATTTTTTGAAGGCAAATGAATACAAACAAGGTTTCTTAAACTATAAACATTCCTAAATTGAGTTAAAAATACATTGAAAGCTTAAAGACATTCATCTCATTTCATCTACATCTAGAATTCCATCATTATGGTAAATAGACTTTATAATTGTAATGCCATTCTGTATATCAGACTTATCTACATTTACCTCAATTATATAGCTTGATTAATAAGTTTGTAATTTCTCTTTACCAAATAATCTCCCTAAATTTGGCATACTACTGATCTTTTTGGCCTTAATATTACTATTCTCAAAGGGGAAAAAAAGTTTTAAAAAATACTGTGAATTGCCAAAATCCATTACCTCAGTGAGCAGATCTGTAAAAGTGACACTTAGTAACTCATTTTCATGTTGTTATAGTTTGCTTTTGCCAATCCTTGCACAGCATTTAAGCAGATTTTGTGGTTAAAAAATATGTGCAATTAAGGAAAAAAATCGCATTATACTGAATAAGTACCTAAAAAAATCAAATCACATTTTAAAAATCTAAAGATTGGCGCTCCCATCAGAAAGCTACGTAAAAATATGTTCAAGAGTTTGTGAAATTAAAATTTACATATAGTAATTTTATTAGAGTGCCACTATGGTAAAAAATTGCAATAAAGATAGTTTTAAAAGTTCCCAGATAACTTGAAAAAATAAATACACAGCCTTAGTACTAGAAAATATTGCCCTAATTCCACTGCTATGATAGATATGCTTTGTAAGCAGGAAAAACAAAAAGCTGGAGGTAGGGGAGCCTTCAATATTTTGTAGTTAAAATTTTTTATTGAAACCTTTAGTAAGATATGGAAAAGTCTTTTCACTTTAAAGCCATTTCATACAGCAATATGTATATGATTTGTTGTGTAAAGTCATGGCGTCTAATTTTCTTACTGTGGTCACAGTGGTTGTGACTAAATGGACAAAATAATATAGTATAAACAACATTGGGCTATTGTTGATATTTTTGAAAAATAATTTATAAAAAACAACTTATACCAACTTGAATTACGTGTTTTCTACTTCCCTTCTTATCCACTTTCTTGAAGTTCTGAGTGTGCAAAGGCTAGGAATCGGGGTCCATTTGCCTTTTCTACCGCTTGGCAGCAGAAAAACCATCACAGCATTTTAACTTCACTAGTGCAATGAATGTTGTCCTGTTCCAATCATCCTCTCAACTGCCTAGAATTGATATGTATTAATCCATAATTGTGGAGGGAGAAAACAAGTGCAGAAGGCTTCTGCTCTCCTCAAGGCAGAGATTTCCAACGCTAAGACTATTACATTTGGCTCTTGTGTTGTCCGTTTGGATAGAGCCTGCCTGTCACGATCATAACCAATCGGCAGAATGTCACAGCAAATTATCACCAACACCCAGAATGTCGATACAAAATTAATTTAGTGCTTCACAAAGCCTCGTCTGTTTAGTTCCCTAGATAGAAGAGAGCTCCAGCTACATCTGAAGTCATCTAAATAGCTAAATCAACACATCATGTCAGACCACTCACATCTGCATGCCAGGGTTTTAGGTTCTAAACACCAAATGAGAACTCTATGACAAGACTGCAACCTACTGTGGAACCAAAGCACTTTGGCACTTTTCTACCTGAATCTAATAAAAGGAAATTACTAAAAGTATTAGCTTTTATGCTTGGTTTTGTTAAACATGAACTTCATCAAAAAGTATCATTTAAAAAACATTTCTGTAAAAATGACACTTAACAAATAAACTGGCAAAATTATTATATCCTTGCAAGTTATTGAGTTCAAAGTAAACTTGCCTGTATATCTATAAGTTCATATTTAAGAATTATGCTTTTCTAAGATCGTACCTTAATAATTTAAATGAAGAAAATCCTGTCACTGTAGTTCATTAACTAACCGGTGAACTTAGCTTTCTCAATGGTTGATCTAAATAAAATTATGCTCTTACCAAATTCTTGGTGTCTAATTAAAAATATAAAATCTACATTTGGTCAGCATGTTCAATACAGCTCTTTAATCAGAATAATTGAAATGTTTCTGCTTATTAAAGCTTATTAGCTAAGGGTCATAAAAAAAAAAGCTGCTGCTCCAAAATCAAACAAAGCTTTAAATGGTAACTGAGTCCACACAATCAAAACATAAGCAATGCAAGCTTCAAAACCATAGGCTTTTGGAATTATGTCAATCTGCTTGTCTCATATCAAGAAACTCTTTTTTCAAAGAGCAGATCTCTTTTTTGTTTTTTTTTACTCTCTAGAACAGTGATAGAATTTGTGTCCTAAATAAAAATAGCATTCATGACACACAACGGACAAAAAGGTTAGCATGCCACTTTAAGAATCAATTTCTTTTGCCAAATGAAATAGGAAAAGCTGCGCATTCATAATGCTCATCTATTTCATTTTAAGCCTCAAATTAAAACTGCAATTTTCTCACCTAGAAGTTTTAACAAATTGTACCCATTAACATAATCCATGATAAACAAATTATATTTGACTATGTGGCCGAAATGGTTCTCTGGAGTTCTCAGATTTAAAGGAGATATTCAAAGTCCAACATGTGGTTGACAAGTGTTTACCACCTATTAGAGTTTTAAGCAAGGAGGCATTAAGAAGTAATAAAATAAGGTGTATTTATAGAACTGGATAAAATTACTGGATACTTTTTGTGGCTGCAGGTAAAAACACCTGGAAAACCTGCTCTAGGGCTAAAGTGTTATAAAAAAAAACTATAAAATAACCTATTATACATGCATCTAACTAGATGTGAAGATGTGTTCTCCCAGTGCATTATAAATAGGTTGGGGGAAGGCCCATGCTGATCTTAAATGGCAAGTTTGTGCAGAGGTGGTTGCTGCTTCTCCCAACTCAGGAATAGGGGCTGAAGTAAAAATTTGGAAAAAAAAGAAAAAGAAAAAAAAGAAAAAGCACTCTAGTGGGGAGGAGAGATCTTTTCATTATCAAAGTTTGACCTCCCCCTCTTCTAGATCCCTTCCTATCTATATAATAAAAGCCTAAGTGACTTTATGGCAGTTATGGCAGTACAACCAGAATGACCAGTCGCTATGATGTGCATTGACCACCAGGGGGCAGATGCTAAATGCAGGAGCTGCCCCCTGTTGGTCACTGCACTCCCATAGGGGGAGTGCTGCTCAGCCAGAAGCCAGGCTCACAGCTGGCGAGCACAGTGGTGGCGGTGGGAGCCTGTCCCGCCTCCACAGCAGCGCTAAGGAGCAGCAAGACGAGTAATAAGGAGCGAGGGATCCTGAATTGCGAGAGGGATGTCTGACTGCTGGCTTAGGCCCAACCAGGCCTAGGCTGGCAGGCAGACATCACCCAAGGGGTCACAGACTGTGAGAGGGCACAGGCCAGGCTGAGGGACCTTCCCCGCCCCTGTCCCAGTGTACGAATTTCGTGCACCAGGCCTCTAGTCTGATATAAGGAGGGTGTAGTTTTTTGTTTTGTTTCGTGTTGGGTTCTTTTTTAAAGGACTATCACAACATGTCTGATATATTTGGAGATGAGCAGAATGTTTGAAATTCACTACTAAAATCACTACTGGAATCCTATTGTATAAAAGATACAAATGCTATTACTTTCCTTAGTATGTACTGTCTGTGAAGGTTCATTGTGAACTGCAAAGAACCGCATGTGCCTCAGGTATGGTTTTATCATCATGCCACATGCTCAGTGGTAAAAACTGCACATTAAAGGAATCGAAAAAAAAAACACACATTATATTAGACTTCAGCTATCTTTTCTTACTTTAAATAAATAATTTATTTTTGGCACCATTGCGTCTCAGTGATGTGCCACAATTTTATATTTTAAAATACAAGTTCAATCATAAAGGCAGTATTGCTTAGCAACTACAAGCAAAGCTTCTGATATAAAGATCCTGAGGCTCTAGTCCTGAAATACTCTTCACTTATAAAATTCCAAATGACCTTATTTCCATGGAATGCATATTTAGAAAATGTATCATGTGCACATAACCATATGGTTAAGGAAGGCATCTTTGTTGCTGCACATTTAGGATAAGTGCATAAGATGAGGCTGATTAATACAGGGGGGTGGGGGGGAGTGTCTTGTGGCCAACATGTGCCATTTTTGAAATTACACCTCCTCCATCTATATTAGCTTGCCAAAGTTGCAAGCTTACTCCTAAACCCATCCACTTACAGTGTAAAATAGTCTTTTTGTAATCTTCCACCAAAAGACCAATAGAGTTGGGTTTTCAAAGATTTTTACAAGATGAAATAGCACAATACAATAAGTAGTATTAAATGCAAACAAATTTTAAGGTTCTGATATCACAAGATATTAGAGGAGTAAGCATTCTAGGCTACTGTCCAGCTCAGAACCACCCTGCAGGGCCCTGTTTCTGCAGTGCTTTGGAGAAAATGTGGTGGGCTCTGCTTTGGCAGAACATAGTTCTAACTTTATTTATGTTCCAATAAGCAACTAGCATTTGTTTGACCTTCAGTTGGTATATCTGGGGGCTACTTTAGCTAATTTTCAATTCAGACCCTTTAATCACAAACTTGATTTTTCCTTCAGCAATAGATTGACAGTTCTGATTATTTACATTATTTCTTCAAATTAATTCGATTTTGTCTTTGAATGAGCAGGCTGCCAATAAACTCAATGAGCATTATTAGATTTAATTAGCTTTTCTAAGACTTATCCTGATAACAAATGAATCATCAATCAAAATTACCACTGTTTGACATTTTAAAAACTATATTTACACATCATCCTCATACTATGTGGAATTCTCCAATATTCACAAAAGTTGAAATAATAAATTCATCGTAATGCCTTACTATGGAAAAAATCAAATATAACTAATGTAATATTACTGATAAAAATATGGTAACTACATACTATTTTAAGTTGACAGTTTTTCAATCAAACTATAAACACCAACAATCTGCTGGAGGTTTTGTAATTTTTCTGCTTTGTGATTTCTGATTTTGAAGAAGAATAATTAATTTTCTAGTTCAGAAGGGAAAAATTAATCAGGCAGAGACCGCAAAGAAGATAAAGGCAACGCTGTGTTATCAACACTAATGCAAGAGTGTGATAACAGAGATCATACAAACAATGAAAATATTGCAAATCGCTCATTGTCAAGAGAGCCTGAACTGTATGATTCACTTTGTAATTGTTTTTCTTGAGCCAATGTTAACATTAATTGCTACTGTTTGAACATATGTCAACTGTTGATAGAAAGAAGTAGGTCCAGGGATATTATGTGGAAAGAGGAATCCTGACAAAGACTGATGTTTCCCTAAGTGATTAACAAAAGCTTGTAGTTCTATTTCTAATAATAAGTATTAAAAAATAACTAAATCCAAAATCCAATTTCCAATGAGAAAAGTTAAATCTCACGATGCTAAGTGAAATTTTAGCAAAGTATGGTTTTGAATAGATATTATTGTTGCAAACAAATTAGAAAGCAAGTGTATAAAAGTTTTGAAAATAGGAAAATCCAAGTTTTTATTTTAATAACTCCAACTAGTTTATTTTTTTAATAAAGTAATGCAATACTCACTTATAGAAATCATATTAAGCAACGAATTTAAACTATGTAAAAACATCAAGTTCATTGTCACTATGGTAATTGTGATACTTCCACAGTTCTAATTTTATGTAGCAATTGATTAGTAAGTGTAACACTCATGTGATTTTTACACCAACTTTTATTTAAATGTATTGATTTTACTATGCTTAATATATCCTGCTGCTTGGGTCTATATGAGCTTTCCAACTGTCCATATTTTCACATTATTGGACAGTGGATTACACTTAGTTAATGATTGGTCATATAAATAAATTTATTATTTCCAAAAGACTGCTTATATTTTCATCAATATATTTAGCAAGTGCTATTATACATTTTATTCCAGAGATCTACACATTTTGCCAGGTTTCAATTTTGTACTTCATTTACATTATAGTAATTATGTGGGAAATAGTTGCCTAAGTAGCCACAGAAAAGTTGGAAAGATCTTTTTGGCACTGGCTTGATGATTATCACTGAAGCCTAAATGCAATTAAAGTACTACATTTTCCGGCAGTAAAAATGTATCTTAAAAATAATTTTGCACAAACATGTGCAGGTGAAGTATTAAATGTATTATTTTTCAAAAATACAAGGATTTTTTTTCACTTCAATATTATGTTGAAATTTTGAAATGACCTACTCATATTAACACTCATACGAATGTAAATTATTAGTGTTTAGGAATTATTAAGTTAAAAATAACTGTCTTGCCTGAAATGTAAAGTCCAATTATAACTTTTCCTGTTATAATTAAAAGAAACAAAACGTTCAGGATATGAAAATTTTTCAATTTAAGAAAAAATTATATTTGACAAAGGTCTCTACTTTCAATGTTTATGTCATTGAACTAGTGTGATGAATATTCATAAGAAAATGGACTTGCCCAAATCAGCACCATCTGGAGGTAAAAGCCAATTAAATCAAACATTTATACTAGCCAGAGTTTAACATCCATGTTCCAAGTCTATGTTAAGGTTATGTCTTTTCAAAGGGTGAAGGCTGAACATTCTTTTGCAGACTACCCTGACTCACAATGCCCTTTTTAAAGGATCCTTAAATAAGTGGAACTTCATTTTAATAGAACACTGTCTTTTACCTTGGGTTATTATTCAACATTATCAATGTGTGCCATGTTTTTAAAATTATTTTTAAGATACCAAATATTCTAATCTCATATAGTTAAAAAAATGAAGTTTTACTTGCAACTATATTTTATTAACACCTTTGCCTGCAGAAGAAGTGTGATTTTAAGGATGAAAAAGTATATTTCTCTCTAAATTAACCAAAGGATAAATTTAAACTTGGCATTCTTATAATTAGAGTAATAGATATTAGAATTTTATTACCCTAATGAAAAGACAAGTCTTCAGTACTAGTTAAAAAAAGGAGAGACTTTAAAAAATACATTTTAGAAAAATGATGACATCAATTTAAAACCAAGATTATATATATATATATATATATGAATTCCAAGAAGAAAAAAATATTGTGTTTAACATCCACTGGGATCTTTTAAAGCAAGGATGTCGTATTCATTTTTTTTTAATTTCCATTTTCTAACACCATTCCTAGATCATAGCAGTTACTCAATAGATGTCTATTGAATAAGAGAATTAATAAGAAAAGAGACTAATTTGCATATATCAGTGGATCATATCACAGTTCTTTGGCAGCAGAAAAAATTCATAGTTATATTTCAGAGAATTTTTTAAAAGAATATGCATTTAAAACTATAGGATATAATTCTGGAGTAAGTTTTAGTATCCATTAAGGATAATATAATATGGTTCAGTAGTCTAGTGATAAGACTGAATGGATATTGTCTAGCTAGATGTCAGGCTAGAGCCCAAGAATGATAAGAGTCCAAATAAGATAAAAGTTCAGCAGGCAGCAAAAGTCTTTTACATTGCTAAATGAGAAAAATCAAGATTTTAAAGGTACAGTACAAGAAATATAATTCTCTTCATATAATAAGTATTTGGTCTTTATGTGAACTTGAATTTACATAAACTTCCTGGGATGCATAATTACCTCTGCAGTCTAAGAGTTAATAGAAGATATGGCTGATATGAACAACATAAAATGGTGGCCATCTTAATTTATATTTAGCTACATGTATTTTATATATATACATATATTTGATGCCATTAGAATGCAAAGTATTTCAAATAAAACAATAAATCCAAATCCTTAAAACCTAATTCTTGCCATTTAAAATATGTTTAACAACCTCATTTTGCCTGACCATCTCCATGCTTGCCCCTGTGGTGGGCTTAAGTAGAATTTATTGAACATATACTATATGTCATGCTATAATCCTTACAACTCCATGAGGTCTGATACCCAAGGCACGCCCATATTATGTCTCCACTCTGCTCAGCATCCTAATGCTGTAAAATAGATATCATAACTTAGCATAAAACAAGCAGTAGTCTAAAGGAAATCACGTTACTTCGCCATGTTTTATCTGTTTAAGTCTTTCCAAGCACAAAGAGTTTTCTTGTCATTGTTTGTTTTATTTTAAAGTCCTTCTTATTGAAACACTGTGTATATATGAAATTAGAACTAAACGAAAGGCCAACCAAAAACAATTGGTTCACACTGAGAGTGTAGCAATGGTTAATAAGAAATTTAAAATTTAATTTCTACCATCTCAGTCACAAAGAGACCAATTGAAATGTGACTACATCTATTTCTTTAGTTGATAAAGTTAATAACAAATCCTCACTATAGTTTACTCCTAATCCAAATCATTAACTTTATCTTGATGATTTCAGCTATAAGGCAATGATTTTAGTCTCAGGACTTAAAGAAAAAGAATTTTTCAAGGTACTATAACATTGTGTTTTATTTTTATATTTTGTATCTAATTTATGTTATGCAACCCACATACCTAAACATTATAAACTTGCATATTCAAACATTAAAACTTATAAATGAACATATTTTAAAATATGAAAAAAGTTAAAAAAAATTGGGTATTATGCTTCTGGCAAAAATTTGATGAGTCCCAGAAATATGATCCAAATACCCAGAGACATTTTAACTAGTTTGATTACACCATGGATGCCATTCCTTCAACTGAGATGCTTTCTAGTCTATGGAATAATTGGAAGCAAAAGCCAGCAGGTTTCAAATGGCTCCAGCTGTGTTAACTACGACTGTGAAACAGATTCACTCTTTTATATGTTGTTTTGTAATAGGAGTGATGTATAAGGTGAAAATCCCCAGACGGGTGGTGTCCCTATGGGAACCAACAAGGAAGTAATTTAATAACAAATACCAAAAGAAGCAGAATAATTTAAATATGCTAATGAATATTGTGAAAACCCAAAATAAAAGATGAGGCAATTATACAAAAGTGAAACAATAGGGACTAAG